GTTTTTTCACCCATATTTTAAGCATGGGCGCTATCTGCATACAGATAAAATATTCCAATGACACCAAGTTGATTAAAAGGGGATCTCCATTGCATAGTCGACTCCAACATTGCGAGTGCTTCTCTTTACTGATTCCGGCATGCCATTTCTTATATGTAAATGCAAAATAGCTCCTAACAAAATGGCAAATGAAGCATGATGCCAAGACCAACATTAACGTTTTTTCCGCGCTCTCCGGTGGGGTGACCTCACACGTTGAATAACTTGCAACTAAACACACAAATTTTGGTGCTTTTTTTTTCTTTTGTTTTTATGACTTGAGCTTAACCAGCATTCATTTCGCCCCATCAAACCCTCTTGTAACCCGTCGCGAACAAGTCGTAATGTCCCCGTATTGCCGAATATTACATCTGACGCCACTTTTTTTTTTTTGTGCTTCCAGTACAGTTTCTCAGGCTCCTATACCAAATTTAAAAACTCAATACCCCCCCCCCCCCCCCCTTTCAAAAAAAAAAAGTTATGATTTTTACGTTGGGTTACGAGTTAAGATGTGTATTGAATGGAACCAAGTTTGAGGCAAATTAGCGACTATCAAAGTTTTGCAGGAAAAGCAATAAGTGAGGAACACGGAAACACCTTATTTCAATTAGCAACAGTACAATAGAGCCACAGCGATATTTCGCGGAATCACACCTCACAGTAAAAAACGAAAGAAGGAAACGTGGGAAGGGGGCAGCGAAAGAAAGGATATCTTGAATTTTTTTTTTTTTTTAAAGATTAGAAGATTAAAAGAAACGATGACTTGGGGGACGGCAAAAACTGCATTACTTTCTGAAATCATCACCAAATGGCTACGTTAATTCCGGAGACCAGAATCCCGGGCGTGAGAATTAGACGTGTCGCGAACTGGTCGAGGTTCGAGTTCGACCAGGTTTGACTTTTTCGAACTTCTTGTGAAAAGTTCGGCAAAGGTTCAACTCAGGTTCGATTGCTATGCGCATGCGCGACAAGCTGACCAGTTGGCTTCGGATTGGATGGTGATTGCTAAGGGACGAATTAAGGGCAGCACAGATTGGTTATTTCAGTTAATACAGTACCAAAAATTAAGTTATTAACTTCTTCAGTGATTAGAATTAGTTTATTTTAATTTTAGCTGTTCATAAAATTAAAATAAACCTTTGCATAAAAAAATTCTCCAAACCTAGACATGCTTGTATCAAGGTCTGGCCACACTGTCCTCAAAGTCGAACCGGTCGAATCTGATTAAAAGGTCGAAGGTTCGTCGAACCGGTTCGTCCCAGTCGACCCCGAAAATTCGACCTAAAAATCTGAGTCGACAAAAGTTCGCGACACCCCTAGCAACCACTGCACGAACGCGAATGAATGACGATGGAGTGATTAAACTCAGCTGATGCCCCATTCCATGTTCCCGAATTTGGTGCACGTTGACGCCTATTCCCCCGAGATATTAGTCCCCGCCCCCTTTGAGTGTTGCTCAACTCCACCAACACGCAGTCTATCACCCTCAGAAAAAAAAAGGTGTATTCTTACACCCTTTGTCTCATATAAAACACCCTAAAACTTCAGTTCGACGTACAGCGCACTCACGTCGATCTGACGGTACTAACTTTCACGAGAGGCTTGATAGCCGTGTGGTACAACTTAATAAAATAGCTAATGTACGTGTTACTGACTACAAAAAGAATAATCGGGGTTTTCTTGGCCCCACTGCAAAACCTCAGGGTTTTCTTTCTGTGGTCTTGGATGCGTATTTTAGCTATTTAATAAGTTTTATCGCACCGTTCTCAAGCCCCCCGTAAATTGTGGAATCGCCTGTTCGACTATCGTACTCTGTACGTCGAATTGAAGTTTTGGGGTGCATTCTATGTGACAAAAGGGTGTAAAACTACACCGTTTTTTCTTAGAGTCTACATTGGGAGTCAAAGGGATCGATTGCTGTTTCAAAGGGCCGCATAAATCGGTATCTGAACTCATCGAGCTAAGATTTTGTACAGATGAGGTAGAATAACCTCCATTAAAGTCATAAAAAAGATCACTCAACTAATTTACTGGAGTAAAAAGAACGAAACCAAATGCGTGAAATCCGTACCTACGGCGGTGCTTACGAAAGGCGTCTGATTGGCGAAACAGCTGACAGGTGGCGGCACGTAACATCGCAGGTGGTATGTTTGAGCCGTGCCGCGGTTGCGGCCGATAACACGGCATATGGGCGTCTCTTCGGGATGTTTCGGGGACGTGCTCTTTGGCTGCGGTCACACATCACTCAAGCGAAAGCCTGCAGACACTGTCTGAGTATTACTAACGAAAAACAGCGCAAAAAATGACCAAGGACAGGTAACAGGAGAAGACTCGACAAACGCTTGTCGTGTCTATATATACTCCTTCTAACTGTCCTTCATCATTCTTTTGCGCCGTTTTTGGCTACTAATGCATCACCAACTCGCCCAAGTTACCACTCTTATATACTGTCTGAGACCTGTGCCTTCCTTGTATGGCGGTCCTGGACGCCGGCAGGAGCAGACGACGTTTCAGAGCCAGAACCGACGCGTTCTTTTTCTGCGTCAATTGTCAGTGCAAAAGTATTTGATCTGAAAATTAAAAGAAATGAAGATAAAACACGAACAACAAAAATGCGGTACTCACGGTGCCTTCACTGCCGACCCCCACGTGTCAACGCGGGGACTACTACTGCCGCCATCTGTCGGCTGTTGCACAAATCAGACGCCTTAAATTATCACAAGGCCGCCGTGGGTAGGGATTACAAGTTTTTTTACAAGAGAGCCGTTAAGGGCTAGGTTGCCCAGGATCGTGTCCGGTACCAAACGAATGTCGACACAACACTCTGGTTTCCGCCGTCGCTCATAGATGGCGGTAGCTGTCCAGAGTGTTGTGTTTGCCGGTTGTCTGCTTGCCACCGTCGCTCACAGATGGCGGCAACCTTTCCATCCTTTCCACTCTGGCTTGCCGGCTTGCGGCCGGCCATTACTTCATTCCCACCATAGTACAGCTTCGCTGGTCTTCCTTCTTCACCAGAGTAGAGGGAATGAGAGTTTTTCATGTCCAACTTTTTATTCGGGTACGTTTGTTCGGTGAAATTGTTTTTACCTTGAATGCACGTTCTTCAACCATCTCTGCGAAAAAGCTGAGCTCGAAAAGTTCAGAAATCGATTTATACCATCCCCTCAAACAACCATCGATACCGTTAACTCACCCTGTACACACAAGCAATAAGAGCGACCGGAAACCTTAGATTTCAGGGCTACTTAAACAATGAAAAAAAAAATTGTGTTAAAGATGCTCTTCACGAGGAATTGGCAGGAACGCGCGTTGCTGAAATCCGCGTTACAGAAATGTCCGAACTTGGGAATGAAGACGCCCTAAGAAGGTTACACCACAACAACCTTTCTTTTTCCCTTTTTAATGATCCACTTTGCTTGTGTAAGTTTTCTACCAAGGCATCATAAACCATGTCTCCGACAAGAAGATGCTTTATCAAAATTGCTTGATTAAGAAGATTAGAGTTTTGCGGTTCCAATCAAAGAAAAAACATTACGAAACATCCGTTTTCAAACTGGCAAAAAAATTGGTTGCCTCGAAAATCTGAATTACTTTTCCTCTTAAGTAAGCAAGTAATCTAAATGAATACTTTTTAACCGAGAGTAATTGTAACCGTAATCGACTACTATTCTCGAGTAACCTGTACAAGACTGGTTGTGCTGTAGGTTGCAAACATTTTCGTATATTTTTACAACGAATGTCGACACAACACTCTGGTTGCCGCCGTCGCTCATAGATGGCGGTAGCTGTCCAGAGTGTTGTGTTTGCCGGTTGTCTGCTTGCCGCCTTCGCTCATTGATGGCGGCAAACTTTCCAGCCTTTGCACTTTGGCTTGCCGACTTGCGGACGGCCATTACTTCATTCCCACCATGGTACAGCTTTGCTGTTCTTCATTCTTCACCAAAATGGAAAGGCTGAACGTTTTTTTTTTACATTTTTGTATTTTCATCTTTGTTACCAAGCTGTACAACACAGCTTGGTAGAGCGCTTGTACTGTACCTGGCCTTGCGCAGGTCTTACTTTCGTTTGTGTGTTTTGTTTCTGCCACTGCTGCTAAACTTTGCTCGTGGCGGCTATGGAACGCTGCCAAGCCGTACTATTGTTTTTTTTTTCCCGGTCCCCTTCACCTTCATTGCAGTGGCAAATTAAAGTTTATATCAAGTTCAATTCAATCAAAAACAAGGTATCTACACATGACAGCTATTATTAAGTATGATATGTTACGCGGAACTGTAGAAGCGGATCTAAGATACTCGGAAGTTGTTACAGATCACTCGCTCTCTGAAGATTTTCTGCGTGTGCAGAACTGAGAGTTCCAGACTTTCTTTTCCATACTAAAGTCAACCATTTTTTTTATCGAGTCTTTGTCGCTTCATCCCCACCAGTGTGTATCCCGATGAGAAGTTCATGGCCTGCACTAGCGGACCACAACACCCTAAGAAATAGGGGGTGTATAGGGGTACACCCCTTGTCCCATATGTAACACCCCAAAACAACAACTCGACGCTCTGTCCACAGACGTCGAAGCGGCGATACCAACTTTCACGAGTGGCTTGATAGTCGACCGATACAACTTATGAAAATAGCTAAAGTACGCATTAAAGGCTACGGTAAGACAGTCAAGGTTTTTTTGGCTGTGCTGCAAAACCTCAATGTGTGTGTTTGTAGTAGTAGTTTTTGATACTCACATTAGCTATTTAGTACGTTATGTCCCACAGCTATCAAGCCACCCGTAAACGATGGTATCGCCAGCTCGACGTCGGTGGATTGAACGTCCAGATGTAGTTTTGGGGAGTTACCATATGGGACAAGGGTTGTACCCCTATACACCTCCTATTTCTAAGAGTGCAGGACACAGATTGCTCGCTATCCACGTGGTCGCTGCTGCTGCGCACGTGGTCTTCCTTAACCCCTCTTTTCAGACTTGTCCTTAGAGCCGGACGCTTCGGCGGAAGTGATCGCTCGTCACGTCCAAGACATGGCCAAGGTGATTCTCAGGCTCAACCTGGACGGTGAGTTCTGTGCCGCTATACATCGAATGTGTTCTTTGAGTGAACGTGTCGCGAGTCCGTCCATCGTGCACCACCGAAAGCTTCTAGGAGAAGATCGATAGAGATGCCCTCTTGGTGTCTGGCTATGGTACACTCTAAAAAATGCCTGCGCTTCTACTTACCCACAAAACACTCGAAGAGCCACTCTCTGCGATCTTCGAAATCAGCTTAGCGAATGATAAGTCGGAACATCTGTTCAGACCTCAAAATGAACTCTGCGCTCTGGCATTATGCAATGCATGCATGCAGCGGCGTAGACTTCCCATTTTTCCGGGGGGGAGGGGCAGGCTGAGAAATTCTTCGAGGGGGGGCTTTTCCGCGCAATTTTTTTTACACCGGCATTTTACAGTAGATTATTTTAGGGGGTACATTTTACAGCGTGTGTATATATTCTTCAGCTATCATTGTAACAGCGGTGCTCTTGGTTCATTACTTTTTCTAATTTTTATTAACGACTTGCCAACTGATATTTTCTCACGCATGCGGCCCTTCGCGGACGACTGAATCATCTATCGCTTCATTGGGCGCGTTAAGTTGTGACTCCACGACTCCGGTTCGGATAAGTCCGTCGGAGTCGCTACTAAACGGACTTTTGGAACAGCTCCTGATGGAGTAGCCGCCCTCTATATGAACTTCCGGTTGTTTCATTTATTTATTTTTTCTGATGGGACATCGCAAAATGGCAGGCTGCTGTGGAAACAGACCAAGCGGACGTAAAAGGGATCGATGCCGCGTTACCTTCTCGCCAGAACTGGAGAGTGAAGCTAACGAAAGCACGCTGGGATTTCATTTCCCATGTATTTTGTCAATAAAGGCAACGTGGGCGTTATTTTGTTTACATGCCACTACTAGATGCTCGTTACATGGCACGTAAACAGCGCGTCTCAGTAAGGATCATGGCCCGAAAAACAGGGGGGGGGGGGGGGGGGGGGGGGCACGAGCCCCGATGCCCCTCCGTAGTCTACGCCTGTACATGCATGACACTTTGGATTGCGTAATGCCACAGTGCAGACTTCATTTAAGGTTTAAACGGATGTTCCGCCTCATCATTCGCTGAGCTGATTCCGCAGATCGCAGAGATTGGCTCTTTGAGTGTTTTACGGGTAAGTAGACGCGCAGGCATTTCTTAGAGTGTAGGCAAGGCACGAGAGAAGGAAAGCTCTGCAGCGGCAGTAGTGCCGATAACATTGAACTGCAAACCAGGGTGGAAAAAATAAAAAAGATAAATAGAATTTGTTCGGTTTCGATCAAATTTAAAAAAAAAAAAAAATATCGGATTGATTTGATTCAAAAGACTGTAGGTAGAAAAACTGATTCTCTGTATTTTTAAACATGGCATATTGATTGATGAATTCGTTCTGTCACTGAAAACAATTCCGAAGAGAGAATGAGAGTAAATTTGAACTTTTTAAAGTACAGTTTAGTTAATAACTTTTTTATTGATGTAAATCCCGCAGTGAAAGCTTTATCTGCTTCGCTACGATTTTCTCGGAAGAGCGTCGGTTGTGATTCGTGTTCCGACTTTTATAAATATTTTTAATCGATGATTTTTTTTATTGAAATGCAATAAAAATTCACATAGAAAGCATCAAACGAAAGAAAAAAACGGTAAATAAAAATATTTTGTGGATGATATTTGCGGGCACAGTTTAAATTAAATCATCATAGTAAAACTGGTGTGATTTAAATCATGATTTAAATTATCTCCATTTCTTTTTCTCCACCGTGGGACAAACGCCTCGGTACAATTCCTACTACGAAACAGTCATCTCATACTACGCGTTCACCGGGCTGATTTGACGGCTCTAACTTTTACCATTGCTGTCTCCTCAGTTTTTTTTTTTTTTTAATGGGATCTGCGTGCGTTTTTTTTTTTTATAAATTTTCGCAAAAATTAACTTTATTTTAAAACAGTTGTAATAATGACATGGCACTTGATCGATTAATGCTTTAATCGCGATTACTTCTTTTAACCGGTTAATTGGTTCAACTTTTACAAACACAAAAAAAGTAAAAATTCAACGTTTTTAACGCTAGGTGGCGCAAGCTGCCGCCCGTTACCATTCATTCATCCGCCCTCCATTACCATTCATCCATCCGCCCTTCATTGGGCAGACCTGGAAGAGTACTACACCTGTTGTGAACAATCAAAGGAGTTGGCCGTTGCCGCAGAACAGTGTTGCCAACCTCCGCGGTCGTTTCTTTCCCGACTCATTAGAAACGTCCCTAGATTGCCCTAGATTTTCAAAAAATGTTAATTTGCGTCGATATTTAGATTATCGTCATGGACTAGATTAAGAACAGATTCCTGTAGTTGGGTGGCCTTCAAATGTTAAATTTGTTTCGTGAAAGCCGTTTTACACAATTAAACTTTGTTCCTTTGGCCTTGTGTGGCCCCCCGAAATCGTTGTTGTTACCACTGGAGATTATCTCCGGCCCCGACAATATACAAAGAAGCCTTTTTTATCGCTGCACTCGGCCGGCACGAGGAGGAGAAAGGGAAGGAACGTGTCCCTAAAGCCCTCTGAAACACATTAAAAACAATCCCTAGATTTAAACCAACTTCCCTTTGCCCCTAAACGATAATGGAAATCTCTAGATCTAGGGAAAAATCCCTAAGGTTGGCAGCACTGCCGCAGAATATCAACCAACCTCTTTGCCTCTGCGGCTAAAGTAATAAATAGTTTTTGGGTGTGGATGGTCTTTCGACTATTCTCAACAACACATCAAGGTTGATTGAAAATCTGAAAGCGTACGTTGCGCCATTTATTACATATTCAAAGAAGGCGAAAAAAAATAATTTTGACTTTTTTTAAAGCCTGCATGGGAAAGAACCAAACCGATGAATCAATTAATGATGCGATTAAAAGGTACCGATTATTCGGTTTTAACTTCTTAATCGACGCCCAGCCCTAGTTGTGAAATATAAAAAGAAGTGCGATGCAGGACTACGTGTACCGCCACGTCACGTCTCATTTTGGAAGCAATCATAAACGATATAAAAAAGAGAAAACATTCGAGACGTGTACATTTATATCTGGTCATAATAAATATTGTGAAATGAATCAATTCATCTACGAGACGAATGCATGAATCGTCTATTTTTCCTTAAGCGGACGAAAGTGGAGCTTTTTATGGGGTTGCCACAGATATAATATTGCGGTGCTTATATGTACAGGTATTATAATCCTGACAAACAATGCTCCGAATGACGAAAATAATCCCTGGAAAAGGGGAACAGGCGGGACAAAGGACAAACACAAATCTCCACACACAGCTAGGTGACTGGCGAGCGAGCGAAAAAAAATCCGCCTGGTCCGGGTATCGAACCTGGGACCTCTCCATTAGAAGTGGAGCGCTCTACTAACTGAGCTAACCAGGGGTTAGACATCAGTAGAGCAAACGGGTTTTATCAGCTGCCACCAGTCTAACGCCAACAAGGGTGAAGCTTGCAATTTAATGTTATAGCTCCGAATTACACTTTATTTTGACCTAATGTCAATCTTGTCTGTAAAACTTTCCTCATATAAGCTTGCCGTTTTTCAATTATCTTGGAAGTCGAGTAACTGACGGTACTCAAGAAGTACCTGGCCGCCTTAGCCAATCACTTCCAAGTTTTCATCGGCGTCCGTTGTGTTTCCACTACCGTCCACGGTAAGGGGATGTCGGACCACTTCATTATCGCGGTGATGTTTTTTAAGCATCATGTTTTATTTTTTAATCAAAGTTTGAAAGTGGACAATGCAGTTCTCACTCGTTTTCATAACTTCTATTGGCGACTCGAGCGAAATCGACGCCGCGTAGCGGCCACGCCGAGAAGCTCAAGAGAGTGGGCTGTTTCGACTCTGTCGTCTGCCATCGCTGCTTTATTCTCGTAGGCAGCATAGAAACAATTAATTTAATGCTTCCGCCTTGTCATTCCTACGCACTGACTAGAAGACGGTTTCTACCGTCGAAAAAATCGCTTTTGCTTTCATATGTAACACCAATTTTACGCTGCAGCGCAAAAAATTTCTAGTGGTCCGTGTGCTGAACGACGAAAACGACCTCCTTTCGTCCACCATTTTGCCTGACCAGCGCGCCCCGTATAGTTGGCTGGAGTCGCAAATAGCATGTGGCTGCCAACGGTGGCTGTCAAGGATCGCTTCACTAAAGCGCCACGAGGCACGAACCGTCACGTGATTCAGCCCGAGCATCATTCGCTTCGCAGCAGGTGCTACTTGCGTGTCGTTCACAATCGCAGTCCAAATTTGGTGGCAACACGTCATCGGGACAGATGCCGCTCACTTCTACAGCAGAGTGTGGCGTCTCCCTAATGCTGCGTCCAGCCAAGTACGCACTAGTGCCACTAAATAAGCTACGCTTCAGAATAACGACACTTGGCTATATTGTGGCTTCAAATCATGGTTGCCAGTTATCTGAAGCTTTACCTGAAATAACAGGAAACGCTTTTCCGCCCTCCAGAAATGTTTAAACAGTTCGCGACAAAGCAAAGCAATATTACACGAGCTTCCTAACACCCGAATCTAATGCTGAGGAAGTCGCACTTTTGAACCGTGACGATCGGCAGTTGCGTCTGCTCTGCACAAGCACCAAAATGGCGGCGTCCACAACAATGTGGGGGAACGGAGTGCCGATACTTTAAGCGCAGCTCATTTAGTGGCTCTATAGTACGCATCTGTGGGCTTTGCCCCGAAATGGGGTTGTAGTTGAGTGCACCGTGCGGTCACCCGCTAAATGTAGAAGATTTTCTGAGCTCGACAAAATCTTTACTTTCACGGACACTCGAATCAACTTTTCCATAAAATTCGAGGGTCTGAGGACTTCCTAGGTGAGCTGTAGAGAACCGAGTGTGTTTACTCGAAACGAAAGCGGAGTTGCCCTTTCGCCATTTTATCCGCACCCGAACGATTAGGGATCAACGAAAGCTCACCGACAGGGATGGGCAGCATTTCCGATACAAGTATTTGAAATACGTATTTTAAATACTTTGTGTATTTTGCATTTGTATTTAATTACAAATTGGGTAATGTATTTGACGTGTGTGTTTAAATACTAAAACGTGGGTATTTCAGATACAATTGTAATTAAATACAATTTTGTGGGCGAAAATACATCTTGTTTTCATGTTTTTATGGCAAGATACATACATATTTGTATGTATCTTGGCCATCCCTGCTCACCGATGAGGCGGTGAAAGAAGTCGGTGCGCAGCTCTAGTTCTGTTATCCCGATGATTTCCACAAAATGTCCGTCTAAGGTCATCAAGAAATCGGATCGTCCTCGGCCATATTTGAAGCCGGATCACGCTCGCGAAATGAGAGCATTCAGCTGTACAACGGATGCTTTCAAACATTCGTTGTGTCCACGTACAGTTGAAAAATGGAGTGCGGAGAGAAGTCGTCTGCTTCTTGCGCAGGAGGTGCAGTGACGTCAGAAAGATGCCGAGCTCTGATTGGTTGTGATGGGAGGATAGTGGGTAGACCTCGAAGCAAGCTCCCTCGAGGTCTACCCACTATCCTTCAGTCAGAGCCAATCAGAGCTAGGCGTTCCGACGTCACCACGACCCCTGCACAGGAAGCAGACGACTTGCTTTCCGCATTGGCTACCTAGTAATATTGTTTCAGTGCTTCCGAATGGCTCGTTTTTTTCAGTTTTTGTTAAACGACTATGTGATGCGTTTTTTTCCTCGATCCACGAGTGTTTTAATGGTCGTATATTCTTTTGCATATGTGTACCTTTATTCCTTTCCTGCAGTATTTCCCTCTGGGCGCCGCAGGTTCTGTTTAAATAAAATAAACAATTGTTGTCTCTTCCTCTGCAGGACACAAATTCATGGAACCAGAGGAGATATCTCAAAGGCTAGAATCTGGAATCTGGTGAGTACACAAACTCGGAGCCCAAGAATGACCGAGTCCTCTCTCTCTCTCTCACCCCCGCGAGCAAAGAGCGCTGCCCATCAGCATCATCAGCGTCATCAGCATCAGCATCATCGGCGCCATCGTCAGCGTCACGATTAGGGGTGTCGCGAATCGGTGGAGGTTCGAATTCAACCAGGTTCGACTTTTTCGAACTTCTTGAGAAAAGTTCGACAAAGGTTCGACTCACGTTCGACTACTATGTGCATGCGCCACAGGCTGGCCACTTGGCTTCGGATTGGATGGTGATAGCTAAGGGATGAACTAAGGGCAGCACTGATTGGTTATTTCAGTTAATACAGTACAAAAAAATAAGTTATTAACTTCTTCGGTGATTAGAATTAGTTTCTTTTAATTGCAAGTGTTCATAAAATTAAAATAACCCTTTGCAGAAAAAACAAATTCTCCGAACGTAAACACGCTTGTATGAAGGTCTGGCCACACTGTCCACGAAGTCGAACAGGTGGAATCTGGTTAAAAGGTTGCAGGTTCGTCGAACCGGTTTGACCCGGTCGAACCCCGAAAAACCGACCTAAAAATCCGGTTCGACAAAAGCTCGCGACACCCCTAGTCGCGATGGCGCCGGTGTCTGCCAACCGCTCACCCAGGCTCGCTGCCGAGGCACCGTTGGTACTGCCCTGCTCGTCCAACTCATTTCATTTCGTCCCGTGTTAAAAATGGGCGATAGCTGCATAAGTGAAGCTTGACGAAGAGCCTTAAGCTCCCATGTGGCAGACTGGAAAAAATACAAACTTACGAGGCAGAAAAACAACGATAAAACATGTATCGGCAAGGGGAGGATGTATTTTGCTTTTTGCCCGCTGATTTATCGCATCCATACAAAACATTTGCTCCCTCTTTATTTTTTCTAAACAGTAATGTTGGAAATGTGTGCTGACTAATCTGAAGTCTGTAATTCGTTCGAGGACGCGGCGCTCAAGGGTCCGGCACTGCGCACTCCTTATATAATAATTTTTTACACTTAGTTTAGAAATTCATGGTAATGGATGATGGAGAATTTTAAGCGACGTCGCGTAAATTGTGGCAAGCTTACACTTGTTATATTTTTTAATGCGAAAACATTAACTGTCTTATGGAGCGAGCCGACGTCATCAGCTTTGAAACCGCGCCAAGCGGCACCTTAAATCCTTTCTCCAAGTCAAGCCAGCTCCCAGCTATGAAACCACGCGCAAAGCTATCGCCAACGGCACCTTTTACACTTCGGTCCCTTTGGCTGCCGCGCGTCGACGAGGCTCCCATTCGCCGGACACGCAGCACCATGGGGTGGCAGTTTCAACGACCGGCCACCCCATGGCGCTGCGTGTCCGTCAGCGCGCCAACACGCGGAGAGCAAGTATGATGTACATGCTTTCGCATTCACAACTCATAAGAAGTTCTTAATTTTTTCGTTACTTTACGTTAAAGAAAGGGTAGTTGAGAATGTGCTCAATTCAACGCATTAGCTACGACGCTAATTGCTTTCTTCTGCAACAAAATCAATTTCTTAAGGTTGGTACTTGTCGTAGTTACTATAGGTGACAATAGGATAAACGAGAATTGAATAGTGCGTTACAAACTAGAGACTTCACACTAGTTAGCGGGATATGGCTATGCTTGTATAGAACATGTATGATATTCGCGAGTTTAAGAGTAGGTAAGGTTTTGAATATGATAGATATGTTGGTGAAACATGACGCCTAAAGTTTTAACAGTGTCTGCAAGTTTCGCCCGAGAGGATACGAACTTTGCGGTGACATTGCGGAGCGTAGCTTTTGGTTTGCAAATTTTCGTTTTTTTCTTTTCAAGAAGCCAGTTGCTAGCATGCGTGAGAAATGCTTCCTGAATAGCAGTTGGAAGCGCGACACGTGATCAAAATGTGTGAATGAACACTCTAAAAAAATGGGTATCACCTTACACCCTTTTGCCCCATATAATGCACCCCCAAAGTTTAGTTCGCCGTACAGTGCACTATAGTCGAACAGACGGCCCCACATTTTATGAGGGGCTTGATAACGGTGCGATATAACTTATTAAATAGCTAAAGTACATAGCAGAGACCACAAAAAGAAAACACTGAGGTTTTGCAGTACTTAAAAAAAACTATTTATTTTTTGCAGTTAGTAACACGTACATTAGCTATTTTAATAAGTTGTACCACTCGGCTATATAAAGCCTCTCGTGAAAGTTAGTACCGTCAGATCGACGTCAGTGCGCTGTACGTCAAACTGAAGTTTTGGGGTGCATTATATGGGACATAAGGATGTAAGAATACACCCTCCTTTTAGAGTGAACAAGCGCAAATGACTAAGAGAAGAAGGGGACTGGATAGAGCGGTCTGTCCTGTCCCCTTCTTCTCTTCTTAGTCATTTCCGCTCGTTAATTCAGAGTCTAGATGTTGAACCAACTAGCCGCTCAATTGACCTTGATGTGATCGAAGGGGCAAGCTGAGGCAGTGAGATGCGACCCGGTGGCAAGCTAGGCATTAGTCACGAGGCGAGAGGTTCGATTCACTACCGCCGCAGCATTCCATCCGCCAATGTGCACATTCTGCCCAGAGTGGTCCTCAAAATGTCTCGTAATTCCCGTTGATGATCGCTCGGTCGCCTGCCAACCGATCGGACCCCCCACGAGATCAGCTTCGGAGTACTCTGGCTGCTTCAAATCATCGTCATCTCAAAAGGCAGCGAAGGCCCTCCCACAAAACGCCGAAATCCGTCCAATTTTGGAGAGAAAAAAACACAGGATGGTCCAACTCTGTACCCCACTCTACCATGGAATGGACTCTTGTTTGAGGACCCAGGGAGCCCCGTGCAGAGGGAGCCCTCCCAATCATCTGAAAAGCTGCCCAGACGCGCAGAGTAGCACGTGTACTGGGGGAAAGGTTCTCGCAGGCACCGTTTGGGCCGACGATCACTTTCCCTTTGGCCGCCTTTCTTTTACCGTCAAACCGCACCGAAACTATGATGGCATTTCGAAAGCGATCGGAAAATGGCACTCAAGCAGTTGTGGACAATAGGCCTGTTTTTCTCGGCCAGAGGGCGCTGTAGCGTCCACCAAACGCGACCCCAAACGAGGCACCTTCGCGCAGTGCTGCCAACCTTAGGAATTTGTTCCCTAGATCTAGGTATTTTCGTCATCGTTTAAGGACGAAGGGAAATGTTTTTAAATCTAGGGATTATTTCTAATGGGTTTCAGAGGGATTTAGAGACGCGTTCCTTCCCTTTTCCCTCCCGTGCCGGCCGAGTGCAGTGGGAAAAAGGCTTCTTTGTATATTGTCGGTTGCAGAGAGAATCTCCAGTGGTAACAACAACGATTTTGGGGGGCCACACGAGGCCAAAGTAACAGACTTTAATTATGTAAAAAGGTTTTCACGAAGAAAATTTAACCTTTAAATCGCCACTCAACTACAGGAATCTCTACTCCATGACGATAATCTCATTATTAACGCAAATTAACACATTTTCTGGAAATCTAGGGAATTATCGGATAAAATTTGGGGAGGAAACGATCGCGTTGTTGGCAACACTACCTTTGCGAGACGCGGTACGCGAGCATCTAGTGCTGACGTGAAGAGACGTCTTAACGTTCCATCACGCACTTTCCAGTAGCGTCTGTCAGCGTCCTTCAGAGTCTGCCTATGGTTCAGGAGCACTAATAGAGCGTTTGAAAGGACGCAACGATACGCATAGTCAAAACGCGACCTAAAAATCCCTGCTATTGCTCACCAGAGGCGCTGTTCAAAAACATGAGAGCGACAGGCCTATACGCACGAAAGGCCAAAACGTCAACCAAAAAGAGGAAAGAATGCGATCGCTTCCTTCCGGATCAAAGGACAACAGTTCCTCGAGAAATGGCAAAGAGCCATTTCTCGGGGAACCATTGGCGCCAGCGCACAGCTTTTGAAGTGGCGAGGACCCGGAACACACTTTCGGGTCCTCCTCGCGTCTAGCCGCAGCGGGGCGCCAGTCACGTGGCTCTCCTCTCATCCGTTTCTGCCACTGCACCTTTTCCATTTCGGCGGCCGCTTCTCGTGGCAATCTGCCAGGCTTTGTCAGTATATAGGAGGCTATGCCCCAGGGGACTGTGCGGAAAGCAAGTTGCCTACTTCTTGCGTACGGGTTTCGGTCACGTACGTCAGAACGGCGCCAAGCTCTGATTGGCTTTGATTGAGAGAATAGTGGGTAGACCTTAATGCTAGATGCCTTCAGGTCTACCCACTATTTTGTGTTCATTCATCCAATAAGAGCTTGACGTTCTGACGTCATAGCAACCCCTGTACCGGAAGCAGACAAACTTGCGCTCTGCAATGCCGCTATCGGCGTTCTCCTGCCCTTCGCCTGCCTTTACGAATCGGAGTGTTAAGCCTCCTCGACGACGATCAAGAAACGCGCGCGTCTTCCGGTAGGCTGAGACCTCCGAAAAACCGAGATTGACGAGCGTGTATCATGCTCGTCAATCTCGGTTCGCGTGAACTCGCTTTCGTACAAATGGTCCCGGGTGTTTAGGTATCCCAAGCGAGGGCTCATATTGACCGCAGTCGGCTCTGGAGAAGTGCTTCCGGCGTGACTCAAAAAGCGGGCGACTTGTGCACGGGACACCCTTTGTCCTGTCTTGTTTGTGTGCAGCAGCAAGACGGACGTGGTGGACAGCAACACCGTGGTCCGAGCCCGAGGCCTTCCCTGGCAGTCCTCGGACCAGGACATCGCCAAGTTCTTCAGCGGACTCAACATCGTCAAGTAAGATGCCACTTCGCACACTTCGTACCTGTCCTCGGGCCCCAAAGAAGAGGCCTCCCACGGCCCGATTTCTCGTGGAAATTGTCTCGTTCTTCGTGGCTGTCTCCAGCTATCTTCTGTTGTCGCACACCTTTTGCCTCTGATCCCGCTTGGCTGTTGTTCCTGTATACCTCTGTATTTTTACCCATTCTGAGGTTTCGCGCCCTAACTTTGCTTTCTGATTCTTTCTACAGGGTGCTGCCCGAGCGATATTTGGGCGCAAATAAATTCATATGAATAATCCAGGGAATAAAGTTTAACGAACTTTTTTTTTTAGGTGATGCATTTATGACACTCATGTTCAATGAGTGTAATGAGTGTAGGTTTCCAGGGAAAAAAATAAGCCAAGAAACTCGCTCCCATTATGCACAATGAGGAAACCGCTAACAAACCTTCTGGTTGAAGTTGCACCTAAAAATAACACACACACACACACACACACACAAAAAAAAAAAGTGAGAGCTTATTTGAGATGAACACCCGAAAACAGATCCTGGTGATCCGAGCATGCTCCAGCCAGACTCGTAGTTTCCGCTTTCCTCCCTGGCGATAGGAACAACACTTTTTTTTTTACTTGATTTGTGTTCCAGAAAATCGTGAAATTTGAGCACGATAACTACCTCAAGACATCTTTGTGAAAAGTTTTTGATGCAGTCCGTCTATTGGCTTATTTATACGAATTTGGTTAGGTCCGAATAGCGTCCAAGAATGTGGATTTTTCTCTTGGAAGTCTGAAAACTCTCTCTGGTTTCTTTCCTTGCCGGCCACTGGAACGCCGGCCATTGGCGGAACGCGGGCCAATGATGGGGCCCAGATAGGGTTTGGCTCGAAAGTTGGGGCCACCGCTGGGACACTGAACACAGGTCGCAACAACAATGTTGGGGATCGTAGTGTCGATACTCTAAGCGCAGCTCATTTAGTAACTCTAGTCTCACGGTGACGTGCTTCTTTATCTTGGTGTAACTTGTGCTTGAGCTGTTTCCAAACATTTCTCTAAAAGTGCAGACACTGTGTTTTCAGAGAGGGTTGCTGGGCCCTCTCCATAAGCAGTTGTGTTGAACCTGTCAGATCATCTGGGGTCGTGCGGTACTGGAAGAGTTGCAATTTTGATATAAAATTCTTCGGCTTCTTTTTACCCGGTGCAATATACGCTCAGTTGCACCGTTTGATTAAGGATGATACAATGGCGCCTCGATGCCCCCGATGTGATTTCCTCTGAGGATCACGAGGGATTTCGCACCTGTAAACGCAGTTCCGTTGTCAGATACAGTGATGTCTAGAATTCCGTGAGTTGCAAAAATTGCATTTAAAAGTTGATGGTTGCTTCTGAAGATGGAGGGGGAACGGAAATTACTTGAACCAATTCTGGAGTAGGTGCCAACGATGATTAAGAAATAATTACCTTGGAAATGACCCTGGTTTTCACTGCACTCGCCGTCGTATACGTGCTTATGTTTCTGATACGTCGCACAAGGTGTGTCTGTCTGGTGCCTATCCTCGTTGCCAATTGCTATAAAGTATAGTATAGAAGGAACGAATCCAGGGAACGGCTAATGCTTTTCCTGGGACATGCTTGACTGCACCGCGCGCCGAGAGCCCGTGCAGAGCACATCGTTTATTTTGACACTCCGTGTAGGCAAAGATGGTGCTTTCATCTCGCCATCGCAACCGTATATCGCGACTGTGTGGTATAATGCATCGGCCTTTCGTAACCATGCCACCGGCTATTCCCTCTCCTGCGCTTGCGCTAACCAGCAGAAACGTTTATTTCATCGACAAGAGAGTGCACGTTCAAGACAGTTTCACAAACAGCAAAGAGCACGATTCCACTTTTAATGTTGTTGTCGCACGTTTTAGAGAATACAGCAAGTGCGTATACACGATTTTCGTTTAGCCTCCCACCCAGCCACGTTGTCCCCCTATCCGGCAGGCACGTAGCCAGGGAGGGGGCCCACGGGGGCCTGGGCATCGTGCCTGCTATCCGGTATGCGTTCCGAACAAGAAGCAAGAAATTACAACCCCGAACAAGTAAAAAAAGTATAGAATGGTCATAACAAGAACGACTGACGGTGGCAATTAAAATGTTAACACGTTCTACTGTCGAGGCGAGAAGAAAGAGATGTTTTCACACATACCAGAAGTTCCACAATTGAAGATGGCGGCGCCCACGTAGAAAAGGTGTATACTTGGTCACGTGAAAATCTCGATAAAAAAGGTTGCGTTTTTTTTTTGGCGGTTTTTTTTTTTTTTTTTTTTGTCCAGCGTCTCCGCGTCAACTATTTGATCGGTCAGAAATGCCAACTGCTGCGCAATAAACACCTGGAACGTTTATCGTGGCTACCGCTAGTTGCCGGACGCGGACGAAGAGAACAAAAGGATCTTAATTTCCAAGCGGGTTCAGTTGAGAGCGACGAATTGAGAGAGACCGAGACTTTCACCCCATTCCCTGCTTCACGCAGATCGACGCCAACACTATCGTCCAAGTCCTCTTGGTCTTAGGACTCCCCAGAGTTCGGCAGATATTCGTTTCTTTTTTGCTAAGAAAGGGTAAAAGCACAGGCGAACTGGTGAAGAACTTCCATCGTAACCGGGGACACGAGAAAAAAAAACAAAAAAACTGACAAAACAACAACAAGTCTGTTGCTGTTGTTCTCTTCGGCGGATCCGTGTGGTCCAAAACCCGAGACTCGAAGGGCGGCCGGCGGCCGGAGTCGTGCCACCGCGCCCCCCTCGCCAGCGCAGACTGCGCGTTGAGTCGAGCCATCGGCTGGTCGCCTATCGCGCGGCCATCTCCGGGAGCCTATCTGCGTCCCGTTCCCGGCCGCCGTCTAATCGGACCGCGGGCAGATAGCGCGGGCCGTCGTCGCTTTTCGGCGGACGGTGTCCGAGCGCGAGGACGGCCGCCCCACGCTCAGCCAGACGCAGAGTAGGCAGCCGCCGAGGAGGAAGAAACCGCCATGTCCTCTGCCTTGGAGGAGGCCGTCATTGTCGTCTGGACTCGGCTATCGGAGGAGGCGGCGTGCCACTGATCCGGTCGCTTTCCGAAGCCCCTTTTTTTATCGGCGAGCTGCGACGTGGCGTTTTGCTCTCCGGGGAACTCCGGGGCTGGAGGAGACGACCGCGTACTCAAGTGAGTCCCTCGTGTACGGCCACGTCGAGGAGAGCGCGCTGTTACATCCACAGTCCGATGGATCATCCACTTCGTAAAGTCGGCCGTACAAAGTGCTCTCTTTTTTAAGTGAACTGATCGCATTGAATTTGTCCGTGCGGAGGCGTCCGTGCGGAGGCATCATCGGACTTTCTAGGGCAAGGATCCTTAAGAATCCTTGCCCTAGGAAGTTTTCCACATGACTTTTGACGAGCCTTCTTCCCAGCTCCGTCGGATAGCACGCAATTAATGACTGACTTGCATCTCTACTTCGTGCGTCTTGTGTGTGCTATGCAGGCGCCAACTGGACGGCCGGTCTAATTTAGTCCTCCTTCAAATCAGATGTCATTTGGCGTGGACCGCGCTTTTCACACCTCACCGTGCCAAGCCTGTGTCGGAGTCAGCCTACAGTGTTATCAAGTACACCCCTGGTTGCGTAATCGGCTGTCTCGCGGCGGACACGCTAAAAGTTTTTTTTTTTTTTCTTTTTTGCACGTGACTGTTGGTGTATTTGCTCCATACAAGGTCGGCGTTATAAAGAAATTTTACACGATTTTTTTTTCGGCAGCTGCACACGTCCCGACGTGTAATGTAAACCAATGTGCTAGGCCCGATGTGCATTCTTGCGATTCTTTTAGGCGTTTTAGGCTGTAAATTGTCCGGATTATATTAGTCGATGTAGAGTTTACTGCGTTTATGACATATCTTGTATCAATTGAATATGGGGTTTTGCAGAGGTGCGAAGAAATATGCATTTTACAGATATTAGGAACGTGTCTAATGTATATACGGCCAGTGTTGCGCGCAAACATTAAAACTAAATTTATTTTCTAAATTGCATTTCAAAACAAGTGTTTCTTTTTCTTTTTTAAAGTGTAGACGCTTTGCAACACGCGCCAGATTCCAGCGGCCAGTGCTGGCCTTGCTTACCGAAATGCCGAGCCACTGAAGGGCCGTTGACGAGCCATTTTTGGGGAGAGGGACAAAGTAGCATCTAGAAAGACAATAACCTCTCCTGTCTGGTAATGATGTAAACAGAATAAGAGAAAAGAAAAAGTGAAGGTCGGTTACGGCGGCGCTTTTGCACAGCTATTCGAAAGTTTCTATAGCATTTCATACCTCTGCAATTATAAAAGGCATTGCAAGTGGTTATTCCCTGACTATAGTTTTGGACGTTCTCGACCCAGAGTGCTGCAAACAGAGCCAATTCTCGTTGAGCTTAAAACATCGGCGCGCATGGCTGAGCAGTTGTTATGCGGCCCCTAAGAAGATTTCGAAGGCGTGGCTATGGCACCTCGGGAACTAATCCAGAGCTTCGACTGACCAGCGGCCGAAGTGCTCCGAGGGTGCACTCTCAGAAAAAAAGGGTGTATTCTTACACCCTTTGCCCCATATAAGACACCCCAAAACTTCAGCTCGACGTACAGCGCACTGACGTCGATCTGGCGGTACCAACTTTCACGAGAGGCTTGATAGCCGTGTGGTACAACTTAATAAAATAGCTAATGTACGTGTTACTAACTAAAAAAAAAAAAAAAAGAAATCAGGGTTTTCTTGGCCCTACTGCAAAACCTCAGTGTCTTCTTTCTGTGGTCTTTGATACGTACTTTAGCAATTTCATAAGTTATATCGCACCCTTATCGAGCCCCTCGTAAATGTTGGGGCCGTTTGTTCAACTCAAGTGCGCTGTGCGTCGAACTGAAGTGTTGGGGTGCATTATATGGGACAAAAGGGTGTAAGGTGACACCCTTTTCTTGACATTGTGTCTGCTACACGGCACCGCACAAAGCACCGGCTCAGCTGGGTGGAAGCCTCGGAGACGTCCCAAGCTGGCCGGGGGCTCGAAATGGGTCACCGCACATGCCGTCAACCAGGAAAAATGACGACGAAAACTTACCCTCTTCACTGTCGACAATACAAAAGTGGCAACTTGCTGATACATTTCATTAGACATCTCGCCGAGTATACGCAAAAATAGTATTGTATGCAGTTTGATTCCTTCCTGGCAAACAGAGGTGCGCACGGATGTCGACATTGGTGTACAGAATCGTGGACAACTTAGGTAACAGTAATCAGGATCTTCTCTCTCCTCATCAATTTTAATCAAGTATTTCGCAGGTGACTTTTGGAAGGGAGCGTTGAACAGACAAACTTGGACCCTGTAAAGAAGCGTAATTATCGCTTTGTCAAAACCATCATGGAAGTGATGAAGCTTGCAGGAATATACCTGCTAATTTAATCACATATTGTGTGGGGTGCTCAGATTAGATGATGTGAATAGATGAGCGCGTGCATGAGGAAGACACTGTGCGCGTGGGGAATTCCCAATAAACATTTAGTTGAGTCAGCGTCTGCCCTGTGTGCTCTTTTTATTTTTGTCCCGTTCTTTTGCGCTGTTTTTAATAATGTCGTTGAACAACCAACTAGCCCAGCAATCCACCCTACTATAAAAAAACAATTACTTGCTTCCAGACAAAGAATGACATTGCACTTAATGCATTTTACTCTACTTTTTTTTTTTCTCGCAGCTCTTCATTCTTCGTTTCACGCCGTTGTCGAGTTTTGCATATTCTTCCAGGCCTGCGTCATATTTACTTGTCATTCAGACTGGCATCTGTTAGCATGTCTTACGTTGGTTCTGATCAATGTTTCCTCAATTTCTTGTATAAAGGCCAGGCGTGGGGATTTCATACCTCCGGACCACTACACTCTAAAAAAAAAAGGGTGTCACCTTACACCCTTTTGTCCCATATAATGCACCCCTAAACTTCATTTCGACGTACAGTGCACTCTAGCCGAACAGACGGCCCCAAATTTTAGAAGGGGCTTGATAGCGGTGCGATATAACTTATGAAATAGCGAAAGTGCGTATCCAAGACCACATAAAGAAAACACTGAGGTTTTGCAGCAGGGCAGAGAAAACCCCGATTATTATTTTTTTTTTAGTCAGTAACACGTAGATTAGCTATTTTAATAAGTTGTGCCACGCGGCTATCAAACCTCTCGCGAAATCTAATACAGTCAGATCGACGTCAGTGCCCTGTACGTCGAACTGAAGATTTGGGGTGTATTATATGGAACAAAGGGTGTAAGAATAGACCTTTTTTTTAGAGTGTACCTCGGGACCACTACACGTGATCTTGAAGGCTCTTTACACCCATGAGCAGGTATATCCCTGCAAGCTTCATCACTTTGGTGGTGGTTTTGACAAGGCGATAATTTGCGCTTTTATACAGAGTCCAAGGTTGTCCATTCATCGCTCTCTTCCAAAAGTCACCTAGAAAATACTTAATAAATATTGATGAGGAGAGAGAAGATCTTGATGACTTGTTCTTTCTTTCTTTTTTCATTCTCTGTCGTGCCCTTTCTTTTTCTTTTTTTTTAAACCCGAAAAAAAAATATATATATATATCTCCGGCACAAAATGGCAAAAAAAAAAAAAAAAAAAACTTCCATAGTGTTTTTTTTTTTTTTTTTTTCAAGAACAGCTTTATGTATTTTTGGTTGGAAACAGAAAACACCAGCTTCATCATGAACGCAAATTAATTTTGAGCCCATCCTTAGTGTCCAAGTGATCCGCATCACTCGCAGCAATTTCTCTTGTGACAACCTCGATGATAGACCAAGAAAACAAAAGAAATTGCTTTCACCGGTCACAACCTTTTTCCACAGATGTGGACACTACATTCGGAGCACGACAATTTTTGAAAACAATGTACCTTCATATTTTCTACAACTTTCAAGCAACGTCTTAAAGGCGTACGGAAACCAAGTTTCGGAGCTCATCTCTTTGCTTCAACATGAAACGGGTTGAAGTAGGATTTCAACCAATACCAATATCTCGTAGGAAAACGAAAGAAAACGTGTTTTACCCTGAGTAAAATTATAACTAACAACCACCTGATTAATGTCTGTGAAGCTTCGGTGGAAGGTCGTGACGACATCGGGTCAGTAAGAACAGCGCCGCAACGGGAAGTACGTTCGCTCATAGAGAGTACGTAGGCCTCAGGGATGGGCAAAATACATGCAATAATGTATCGAAATACAAATACAAAATACTTCGTCAAAAATGTATTTAATTACAAATCTAATTACATTTCCAAAAAAAGCATTTAAATACCAGATACAAATACAACCAAATGTATTTGTTCTCCTCCAAATATTTTTTGCAAATACATTCCTCAAAATTTGCGTTAGCGACTTAAGGGCACCTGCAACGGGTTTCTGGGTATCTCATTTTAATTTTGCATTACACACTCGGGAGTTAGTGTGCGAGGCTCTAGTAACGTAATAGAAATATAATCACAAGAAGAAATGTAATCAGCTTGGGCGTAATAGGTGAAAAAAGTACAGAGCTTTAAGCAGCTTCTTTTGTCGATTACATATCGGTATAGGCCAACAAAGAACCGAGAAGACCAAGACGCGCAGCACTAGCTAGAGAATTTTTTATTGTTGCAACTCGCACCAGTTACAAAAATCTGGACGACCCGCGCATTTAGAATGTTCCAGGCAAAAATATGGATGAAAATCAGGCTGGAAAGCATCACAAGTTGTCACAGGCACTTGTTTAGCCAGTCTGCCTGTGAACGTCGATTTCGTCACTATTCCTGCCCTGGACTAGCACCGTAATCACAAAGTCACTAAACGCTTGTGCTTGATTGAGAGACACTGCATTCGGTGCAGAACGTAGTTTTCTTCCTGTTCTGGACAGTGACAATAAATTTGAGGGATGTATTTTCGCCCACAAAATTGTATTTAATTACAATTCTATTTGAAATACCCGCGTTTTAGTATTTAAATACATACGTCAAATACATTACCCAATGTGTAATTAAATACAAATGCAAAATACACAAAGTATTTGAAATACGTATTTCAAATACTTGTATCTGAAGTACTGCCCATCCCTGGTAGGCCTGAAACCAATGTTACTAAAACACTCAGTTGGGAAACTGCAAGCGGCCAGTGCATGTCGCCATCTGCCGAGAGACCGATATCAGCGTCTCGTGTGAACTGGCAAAAGTGAATTGTTACGCTCGACTGTTTGGATGTTTTATGGGACTAAAGGGTGACCAGCGAGTGAGGAGCCACGCGGCAGCAGCTGCGGGCTTGGAGGCCATGTTGAGGCGGCCATCGCGTCGGACAGTGCGGCGTCCGCGCCCCGGCATGAACCTTCCCCGGTGACCTTGCAGGGGCGGCGTGGCGCTGTGTCTAAGCTCCCAGGGTCGGAGGAACGGCGAGGCCCTGGTCCGCTTCGAGAGCCACGAGCACAGGGACATGGCTCTCAAGAGGCACAAGCACCACATCGGACAGCGCTACATCGAGGTGTATCGGGCCACCGGGGAGGACTTCGTCAATGTCGCCGGAGGTGGGTGCATTAACGGACCCGTCTTTCTTGAGGAAATAATGTCTCGTTCTTAGTGGCGTCACGTCCGCCCGCGACGATAAATGTGCTTAGTGACGTCTCCTTGTCACCTCTTGGTTGCAATCAGCTGTTCCATGGATGCCACCGCATTGAAGGGAAGGCCCCAGTGCTGCCAACCTCCACGGTAGTTTCTTCCCCGAATTTTATCGAAGAATTCTCTAGATTTCCCTAGATTATCAGAAAATGGGTTAATTTGCGTTAATATTGAGGTTATCGTTATGGAATAGCTTAAGAATAGATTGCTGTAGTTGGGTGGCCATTTAAAGGTTAAATTGGCTTCGTAAAACTTTTTTGCATAATTAAACTTTGTTCCTTTGGCCTAGTGTGGCCCCCTAAAATCACTGTTGTTACTACTGTAGATTACCTCTGGCCCCGACAATATACAAAGAAGCCTTTTCCCCTCTGCATTCGGCCGGCACGAGGAGGAAAAAGGGAAGGAACGTGTCTCTAAGCCCTCTGAAACTCATTAAAACCAATCCCTAGATTTGAAGAAATTTCCCTTTGACCCCGAAACGATGACGGAAATCCCTAGATCTAAGGGAAATTATCTAAGGTTGGCAGCGCTGCAAGGCCCATTCACATACTTGCGACTCCTTACAACCGGGTGCCCTGAAACCACTTGAAATTTCTTCCGACGAGAGAACACACTGGCGCGCTGCCGCCATCTATGCGGTGACTCTGAAACTGCATTTCACTAGAGCGAAGGCTTTGCAAGATTTCCGAGGTCAAATGTAAGCACTACCTATGAGAAATGACCGTTTTTAACGCTGACGAGAGTTTTGGTGAGCCAAGAAAGAAAGGATGATGCGCTAGAGAAATAGGCAATATACAGGACTGCCGAGCTTCCACTGCAACCCAATAGATGCCGCCATTGTGCCTAAGAGGTTTTAAGAGGTTCCAAGGCACTTAGGCTTTAAGAAGTCGCAAGTGTATGAACGAGCCTTGAGGCGGGACTTGGGGAGAGAAGAAACAGAGGGGCTGGGGCACATGGGATTGGTCTTGTGTATAGGTTCGCTGCGGTCGCATTGCTTATACGCCCAACCCATGTGAACGCAGCCGCAAGTACGAGCGTTGTGAGCGCGTGACAAGAATGTGTTGACGCTTTTGTGAGGCGTTCGTTCTGCGATAAGAAGATCGCAGGGATCGTGTGGATCGTGTGGCCGTATGCTCGTTCTGGCTGCGACCGAAATTTGCCCCCTTGATCCCAATTGCACTGCTTTGTGGTCAGAGACGGAAATAATACATAAAGAAGTGAATGACAGTAAGAGACTCGTAAGGGAAACCATTCGGAATAAATCAATCGGTAATTGTATAAGTCAGGCTTCATTGCAGTTGGGAAACAATGCTAAAGCATTTTTAGAACTGTAAACAAGTTTTTTTTTTTTTTTTTTTTAGGGGTGAAGTGGTTTTGCGCTTTTTAGAGTGAGTCCTTCTGTATCTGTCTGTTGTGGTTGTTGTTCCGGTTTGGAGATATTCTTCAGAGCTGGCAGTAATGTAATTACTGTAATGAAATTACAGTAATTTAATTACTTGTTCCAGTAATTAGTAATGTAATTCATTACTTTTTGTAGCAGGTAATTTAGTAATGTAATGAATTACTCCAGCGACGGTAATTGTAATTAAATTACGTAATTACTTTTTCGCACCAGGCATATTTTTGTGTCCACAATACAGAAGAGCGCTTTTCTTTTTATTTTACTTTTTCTTTTTCTTTTACACCTTTCCAAAAAACGCTCTTCGGCCGCCGCTATGTTGTTGATGCTAATGCGGCTGGTGCGACTCTCGCGCCCGCCATCAGCTAGACATTTTCTGCCACTCTCTTGAACTGTGAAAACCCGTTCAGCGCGATTCACTACCTATGTTTTGCGGTTTTGCATTCAACGTTTTCTGGCCCCTCTTGAAAGTTTCCGCTTACTTTTTCTGATGCATGCTGCGTACCCTCTCTGTGTTATCTTCCACTGTGAAAATAGGGCTGGTAAGTGCCTGCCATTGGAGCTTTTCTGCTCGACATTCTCGGGAAACGAAGGAGGGGAAGTAGGTCGAACTAAGGCCCCTGGTGGAACGGTCCTCGACGCGATTTTGCGAACAATGACAATTGTTCTCCCCCACCCAGAGATTATCCGCGTAGGGTCCTCAGTCATCTCCAAAAATAGTTGTCCGGGGTGGGGTGGGAAACGGATCAGTCGCGTGCGTTCCTCTGTCCATCGGTAAACATGCAACAGAGAGTTCTAGCTGTGTGCCATGAACTGTGTAAATAATGTAAATAAAGTTATCTGTAAAAGGGAGTTATCAAAAGCTCCTTTACATTTAAAAGTATACAAAAGTAATGCGAAAGTAATGTCATTACTTTTAAAAGTAATTTGTAATGGTAATTAATTACTTTCTGGCTGTGGTAATTTGTAATGTAATTTAATTACATTTCAGCAATTTTCAGCAAAGTAATTAGTAATGTAATTTAATTACAAAATATGAGTAATTTGGCCAGCTCTGATATTCTTCCCAGTTCTCTTTGTGTTCGCGGACATCGTTGGTCTTTGTACTCAAGTTTTGGGTCTTGTTGTTTCGTGGGTGTAGTGTCAGTGACACACAGAGAGAAAAGAGAAGGAAAGGAAAAATGAAAAGTTTTTCTTTCCGGACAAGTGGATGGTTTGCCCCTGTTCGTAGTATTGCTTGAGAGGGCGTCCCATTGCATTGTTGTCTTTGGGTTTTTTTGTTTTTTTTTGAGTGTTGTGTTTTTGAAAGGGGCATGTTGAGTGTTGAGATGACCTTGTGGTTGTGAGTATATAAGGATGTGGGACTAAATAAATCTTTTAGCTGCGTTTGAGACGTTCTGTTCTTCACTTGTCTCTGTCCCTTCTACTTTTAAGTTTCTGTTTCTACCCCAGTCTCCGGTTAAGTTCCATCATGGCTTGATCCCAATTCTTCGCGCCAACGCCGAACACCACGCAGGTCATCACTTTCTCGGGTTTTAATTGGGCTCCTGGTACCCCGAGAGTAGAACTAATTCGTGTTTTGTAGGTTAACGCCAGGGATTCATTCCAAGCACCAAAAGTAAGAATATGGTATTGTGGCCACTATGACGAGTCAGCCTATAGTGTTTTTATTCACGGGAGTCTTTGGCAGGCTACTCAGTCACCTTGTCGCCTGTTCTCTTTCTCGAACACCCTTTTGTCCCACATAATGCACCCCAAAACTTCAGTTCGACGTACAGGGCACTGTAGTTGAACAGACGGCCCCCAATTTTACGAGGGGCTTGATAACGGTGCGATATAACTTCTTAAATAGCTAAAATACGTATCCAAGACCAGAGAAAGAAAACACTGAGGTTTTTTCAGTAGGGCCAAGAAAACCTCGATTTTTTTTTGGTCGTCAGTAACACGTACATTAATTATTTTAATAAGTTGTACCACACGGCTATCAAACCTCTCGTGAAAGTTAGACTCGATATCGACGTCAGTGAGCTGTACGTCGAACTGAAGTTTTGGAGTGTATTATATGGGACAAAGGGTGTAAGAATACGCCCTTTTTTGAGAGTGTATAGTGCTCTCTTAATGGTCCCAAGAAAGTATATATACGTAATGAAAGCCACAGATTAAGCAAAAAATGCGAGAGTTTCGTCTGTCCGAAATAGGGACTATTGTGGGCTGCAGCTAGCTAAAGCACAGCCTGCTCAGTTAGGGTTGGCGTGGGAGGGAGAAAACGGTGAGTCCATATGGAAAACGTTCTCTTGCTCCTGTCTTCCTTGGAAAGCTGTTGAGCTGAAAGGGCAGCAAAGACAACCAAGAGTTTGAGTAGATGGTTCCGATGACTCCGATAAGGATCTGTGTGTGCCGCCATGGCTGATCTTGTTTCTGGGGTGCAGTCTTCCTTGGAAAGGTGTTGAGCTGAAAGGGCAGCAAAGATACCGAAGAGTTTGAGTATATGGTTCCGATGACTCGGATAAGGATACTCGCCAAGTATCTGTGTGTGCCGCCATGGCTGCAGCCAGTGAACGAAATGTGCCGAAGGAATTCCCTCGCTGCGCAGGCAACAACAACGAGGCCCACTCGTTTCTGTCCCGGGGTGGCCAGGTCATTGTGCGGATGCGGGGCCTGCCTTACGACTGCACTGCCAAGCAAGTGGTGAGTCTGGCTGCGTCCATCCTTGTCCGACGACCTCGTCCGCGAACACAAAAAGCCGTCAGGTCACCGTTCGTCGGGGCTGCTCCCTGTTCCATGACGGCAGGCAAAAGCGGCGAAAGTGTCCGCGTACCCGGGCAATCTTGTATCTCATGTGGGCAAACGTCATAAATTTCTGCAGATCAACTGGCAAGAGCCGGGTCATTGAGGTTTTAGAAGCAATTTCCACGCATGGAGGCTGCCCAACCTTCATTTGTTCTTCTAGAGACTCCGTTAAGTCGGACGGAGTCAGTCAAGCAGTACCAAAAGTGGTCTTCTTTCTGGCTATAGACCAATGACGCACAGGAAAAAGATGCACTTTTGGCGCTTCTTGATCGGCTGCACAGGGAAACGGAGAGCGAGCGTTCGCCAGGTTACTTTCGCGCGGCCAGGCTCTTGAAATCGACCGCAAAATTCGGTGGTGCGTGGCAGCGTGCACACGGTTTCGCATTTTACTCGTACAGGGCAGCAACGAGCACCAAATATTTTGCCATACTTTTGTATTTGTGTTAGACTTTAAAGGCCCCGAGGCATTATTACACAAGGGTGTAATAGAAGAAGAAACGAGACGTAAATACAGAAGGCTAAGTAAAAAACAACGTTAAAATAAACGTCAAACCATGTTCTTAGTGATCCTTTGGCGGAACGGGCGGAGGCCGCTCTCACAGCCACTCGTCTACGCTTTTCTGACAGATGCTTGGGAGGAGAAAAAAAATTGAAAAAAGGTGTCGCGCTGTGTACCTTGGTTGCGTTGTGAAGATAGGCGTGTTTACTGAGCGGGACCTCAAGCAGGGGCATTTCTTGCTTCTCTGAGAGGAAAAACGATCGGGGTGGAGATGGCAACACGCTACCCACTGAGCACAAGACGTCTCGTGGCCGGCTTGAAACGACTAGACTACACTAGAGACGTCTTGGGCTACGCAAGACGTCTATAGCACATCTTTACAAGACGTCTCAAGATATCTTGACGTAGACATCTAAAAGACATCTCAAAGAGACGACACATGTCTTAGGGTGTCTCGTAGCCGTCTCTAAGACCTGTAGGATATGCCTTGCAACACGTCTTGTAGCCAAAACAAGAGCGAACGTTATGAAGTCTACAGGGCGGCTACAAGATGACTCACGACTTCTTAGGCTATCACGTCTTGCCAAGAGGTCTTTTGACGTCTAATAGACGATTTCGTGTTCAGTGGGCTAGCAGCCTTTTTCTGGTTCAGGTGGAGTTCTTCGCCTCCTCGGGCACGGGCGAGGCCGGCACCGAGCCACACGCAAGCTGCCCCGTGATGGACGAAGAAGACGGAGTGCTGTTCGTACGAAAGCCGGACGGCAGGGCGACTGGTGACGCCTTCGTCCTCTTTGACTCTGAGGAGGTGGCCGGCCGTGCCCTGCAAAAGCACCGGCAGCTCATCGGCGCCCGCTACATCGAACTCTTCCGGAGCACCACGGCCGAAGTGCAACAGGTGAGCACCGCTGATATCCCGCGGGCCACTCTTGTGTCCACATCTGTCTCGGCTATATACGTCCCCGGGGTGCACAGAGATCGCTGGGGCCGCAAGCCCACGACTTGTGCTCGGGTTGTGCATGGCTGCCCTTGCACAGTTGAGAGGCAGCGGCAATGTATTTTGACCTCGCTATACACCCTTTCCACAAGGGCGCAGCCATCTTGAATGTCGTCACTTCTGGTATGTGGTAAAACATCGTTTTGGTCTCTCCACGCCGCTGGAAGGTGTTTACGAAAAATGTGTAATTATCAGACATTCTTGTCTTGCCTGACCTATATTTTCTCGCATACTCCAGAGGGAAATGTTTGATCATTTTTTCGTCCCGGATACCAGATACGGAAACCACGTGATTGAGAACGAGAGTAAACAGAAAATGTCTGTACTCCGTTCACTCTCCAACTGAGACTGCAGCCAATGCCATAAGCACGTGAGCTGGCCTCGGAGCGAGCACTCGCGCTAGCAGTACACGAATGAAAGCCAGGAGAGCTGGCCTGTTCGCGCTTGTAGTCTTGGCTGCAGTCTTAGCGTAACTGTGAACAGAGTACAGGGACAAGCGACGCTCTCGCGCGGGAAGAGCAGAAGTATACTCCGTTTCACCTGATGTTGTACCGCAGCGAAGGCTAGAAGCACGATCTCATAGTGTTGGCAGCTGCCCTTGATGCACGAGAACTTGTGCCGCCGAGATCTGTCCCAGAGCCAGGAGCTCGCGCTTGTAGCCTTTCCTGCGGTACATCATAAGCTGAAATAGAGTAATGTAGTAGGCATTGTAAGGAAGGGTAGGAGGAGAAAGTGAGAACCAATCGTGCACGCGCGCCGACCAGAACAGGAGATTCTCGACTTTGCACGCGGGATCGTCCTCCGAACCTAGGGTGCCTACATGTCTGTCTGTTTCAGGGTGAAGACATCCATTGTTGCCATGAATGTGCCAGCGCGTGACGCTCTCGCGCACTCGGTGCGTGACTTGGGCGGTAAAATGGCGTCTATGCATTAGTCAAAGCCACGCGCTCGAGCTGAGTGACACCGGATTGCGCGCACTTCAAAATGCATAAAAAAACGACTGGGGGGAAAAATGGCCTGAGATGTCACCACTCAAGCAAAAGCGCGCGTGTGTATGAAGGCACACTATCCGAACCGCGCGCAGAGCGCCCATCATCGGCGTGTCTGGGCTTCTCGGGCTCCCGTCGAACGGGCTCGCGGGACCCTCGCCTCCGTTCGGTCTCGAATAGCGGCCGGAATCCGCCAGCTGAGCTACGTGGAAGCAACGGGAGACGAAGCTCTTGATGGGCCAGTCACGCGCAGCAGCGGCTGGCGTCGGAGCTCGTGCACGCCGGCTCGCGTGGCCCCCTTTCCACTTCGCCCTCGGCGCCTTTTCGAACGGCCCTCCTGTACACGTCGACAGCGAGAGCCGGGGCTCAAGCCGACCGACACCACCGAACCCGTGAGTGAGTGTTCCTCGAGATCTCCGGGGGCGTAGGGGCGCGCGGAGGTCCGTCCCCTTTTTCCAGCAAGGTCGCCGCACTCACACCGGCCAACTCTCGGGGAATCACTCAGGTTTGCGTCTGGGTCATGCGACGACGTGTCTCGGGTTTCCACGTGGACGAAAAAAAAAATCCCGATCGCTGCAGGCCACCAAACTGAGTCTCGCACACGATATAGCATATTGCAGGCCCAAAAAGCAGCGGCGAGGCGGTACGTGGTACTCCAACCGCTAGAATTGTAATCGCCGTTGGAAGACGACGGCTCAGAGTGTTTTGTATAAAGGGACTCCGTGGGTGTTTGCTGCTTGAGTGACCTTGGTCCTTTCCCAAGGCAGTGGAACTCTGACCCAGACTGCTCCAAAAGCGTCGGCTTGAATGGGCCAGGCGGGCGTTCGAAAGCGCTCGTCCACTTGCGAAGATTTCGGATGACTGCACACACGGTGCGCAAGTCCCCTGGGCGCACCTCTGCATGCAAACCGCGCGCACCCCATTGTCTTGAAAGACGCAGCTGGCGTCTGTATACGCGCGTCACTTTCGTATAGTCGCCTGCTGCGCGGCGCCGTCTCTCTTTCGTCGGAGGCCGCCTTCTCGCGGGCTCGCTTTCGAGGAAAGCCAGGCAACGAGACCGTGGTCCAGCCGCCGGGCCTCGCTCTCCTCGCGGGGTCCATGCCTGCCGGTATACGTCCTCGCCCAGTGCGCCCCCAGTGCGCCCCGACGCTCCGAGCCGAAGCAGTCGCAGCCGGCCCACCCGATCGCATCGGCTGCATACCTTTTTTTCTGGTTGTGTATAACGGTAACCCTGCGCTCCGCTCTTGCCAAACGACGTTCTGCTCGCGGCCGAGTCAATTTCTTCGTGTGCAGCACTCTTGCACTCAGATGTCCCCCTTGGGAACAAGACGTCGCGTCTCGGCGACCGAGAAGAGGTGAGCAGAGGGGAACGAGGCTTCGAACGGAGGGGGATCTGGTTTACCCGGTTTACTGTCTGGTTTTCGTATCTGACCCCTGCACGACGGGCTTCTGTCCGCAGTATATCCTAAAGACGTCCGCAATTCCGAGAAGTCTTCAGCGCCTTCGTGACGAGCTTTACGATCTATGGCTTGCATCACTCTAAAAAAAAAAAAGGGTGTATACGTACACCCTTTGTCCCATATAATACACCCCAAAACTTCAGGTCGACGTACAGCCCACTGACGTCGATCTGACGGTATTAACCTTCATGAGAGGCTTGATAGCCGTGTGGTACAACTTATTAACCTAGATAATGTATGTGTTACTGACTGTACAATATATATATATTTTTTTCTTTTCTTGGTTCTACTACAAAACCTCAATGTTTTCTTTCTGTGGTCTTTTTTATATCACACCGTTATCAAGCCCCTTGTTAAATTGGGGGCCGTTTGTTCGACTGTAGTACGTTGTACGTCGAGCTGAGGTTTTGGGGTGCATTATATGGGACAAAAAAGTGGAAGGCGACACCCTTTTTTTTTAGATGTGTGCATTTTGGGGAAGGCAGATGGCACCTTCAGTGATGGGAGCGCTGCGCCAATTGCGCCAAATTGCGACAAGGACGCAATCCTGCTACATGTAGCGCCAAATTGTCATTTTACCGAAGAATTGCGCCATGCCTGCGCCGAGATGAGATGTAGCAATAAAAAATGAAAATTGAAGTCTTATCAGTGCGCGTGGCGGTACCGCGGTATTTTCCGCGCCGCAACTGTTGCGCAAACTGAAACTGCGAGGGCGGATTATCATCATCATCATTGAAAGGAACAGCGTTAGTAACATCTGAGACCAAAGCCGCAGAGGCTAAGCGAAGAACCATCCCACTGAACAGCCTATTTAAAAAAAAAAAAAAAAAGGCCGAGCTTGTGGATGTTTTTAATGTTGGCCCGCCCTGCTCCCGTGCGCTAGCTACCAGCGAAGTCAAAGCTAGTGCGAGCCCAATGCTCTGTGCATTCCCGACTCGCGCGTGGGCTCGTGCAGTGTGGGCACCGTTACGGGCTCCATGCGCGCTCTTGAAGCTTCGGCTGCGCTCGCATCGAAGCTGAAACGAAGTATAGTTGTGTTGCACCAAACTCTGGATGTAGTGCTGGTAAAGCCTCACCGTCCTTTTCGGAGCACAAAGCACTGCGCGACTCGCGCGACTGCGGTGTCTGCTCCGCGGGTGTCACTTCTCTGCAGCGCGCCGGTGCATGCCAAGGAGCGCACTCAACGGGTTAACTCGGCGTGATTCGATCGTGACTTCGCCAGCACATCGAAAATGAATCAGAATTTTTGAAGCGAATATCAGATACCGCAATATTTGAAGCTGCTTCCCGAAAGACAACTCTAATCGGAACTAAAACATTCCACAACAGTGAGGGTCGTTAGATGCTGCTGCAGGTACCTTAAAAGAAGTGCAGGCTGATAAAACTAAATATCCTGTACCATCAGAACTCAGTGTGACATATCTAATTATATTTTTTTTATCTGACAAGCAGATAAACTTTATTTTAAAAAAAATTTTGTGTGTTTACTTTGTTGAATTTTATATATCCTGTCTTAAAAAGGCGACAGGCGCTGTGTTCCAATAATAGAGATGGGCTTTATATAGCAATGCAGCATTATTTCATTTTCAAGTAATATGCCAACATATGCCGGACCCTGCTCCAAAAGAGCCACTACCTGCTCCAAAACAACATTTTGCCTGCTACAAGGCCTGCTCCAAAAGGTCAAATGGCACTTCCATCACTGCACCTTGCACCCCTTGCTAAAAAGTAAAGAAAGTTTATACTTTTGTGAAACAAAAAAGTACAGTTCGATTATTGTGAGCAGGATTTCAATATCCGAAGCACATTTCTAATATTCTTTTAGTGTGCTTCGTATTTTAGCGGTATACTGTCCGCGCGTCGATCCAGTCGTCTGGCAGCTGAGGTGCACATAACTAAAAGTAAATCTGTAAAGGGACCATGAAACCATTTTTTTTTTTCTGGGATAAATGATTTTTGGCTCAGATTTTAATGATCGCATATCGCTTAGTGGCTCGCTTAGTGGCTCCAAAAGAAAAAGGTTAGAAAGCCAAAAGCCCGCTTTTAGGTACTAAAAACTTGAAAATATAGCGGATTCTTTCGTTCTCCTTCGAAAGATTTCCACCTCTTCACTCTGATGCATCCGCGGTGCCAAAGCACGTCAGCCGAACCTGCAGCTCACGCATGGGATACAATCACCGCGCAACTCACGCACGCGCTCGTCAACATTCAATCCGTCGACGAATGTTCGGATTAGCGTTCGTGGCCATCGAGTGCCCATGACGGCACTTAGCATTACTTGCGAATGACAAGTTCCACGGTGTGCTTAGAAAGCACGGTGGAAGCATGGAGTCATCGCATACGGTGCCCAAGCACCAGTGCTGCCAACCTTAGGGATATTTCCCTAGATCTAGGGATTTCCGTCATCGTTTAGGGGCAAAAAGAAGTTCTTTCAAATCTAGGAAATTGTTTTTTAATGGGTTTGGTTCTTGGTTCTACACACTAAGAAATGCCTGCGCGTGTACTTACCCACAAAACACTCAAAGAGCCAATCATTGCGATCTACGAAATGACCTCAGCGAATGATGGGGCGGAACATCCGCTTAGATCTAAATACAAAGTCTGCGCTGACGCGTTACGCAATGCAAAGCGTCACGCTTGCATTGCGTATAATGCCACAGCGCAGACTTCATTTTGAGGTCTAAACGGATGTTCCGCCTCATCATTCGCTGAGCTGATTTCGTACATCGCAGAGATTGGCTCTTGGGGTATTTGGCGGGTAAGTAGACGCGCAGGTATTTCTCAGAGTGTAGACATTCAAGGTTAGCTTTTGCTAAAAGCTGCACTCTAAAAGAAACCCGTGCGTCTACTTTCCCGCACAACACTGGGAGAGCCGATCAGCGCAACTTACGCAGGCGACTCAGCGAATGACGCCGCCGAAACATGTTTAGACCATTAAAACGCAGTCTGAGTTGTGATATTAAGTAAGGTAAAACGTCACGCTTGCATTGCTTAATGTCACAACTCAGACTTCGTTATTTATTTTTTTTTTTTTGTCTAAACATATATTTCGGCGTCGTCATTCGCTGAGCTGCCTCCGTAAGTTGCGCTAATTGGCTCTCCGACTGTTGTGCGGGAAAGTAGGCGCATGGGCTTTTTTTTTAGAGTGTGGCTAGGAGATTCTGACCAGCTGTAGGAGTTGTAAATAAATCGAATGGCCTTTCTTTGTATTTTTTTCTGGTTTAATTTTGTTTACCTCAGTATGCGGATCCCAAACCACGGTAGCGTATTCAAGAACAGGCCTTATGTAAGTTTTGTAGGATATCAGTATTACTGACATGGTAGAATGTCTACAAGTATATAGCCTACATTTTGGTACGCGTAATTTACAATGTAATCAATGGGGTTGTTTCACAAAAAAAAATTGGATGATATAACTCAGTAGTATTTAAAAGATTCTACTTTTTGCAGGGGTACGCCATGTATCTTGTGAGAAAATTGTGAAATATTTTTTTCGCGTAATGATCATACATAGACTTTGTTACGTTGAGTGTCATCCGCCACGTCTTGCACCACAAATTAGATGTTTCCAATGAATTTTGATTATGATAATCATCAAGGATAGTAACTTTTTCTTTTAAATAAAGAATGCAGTCGTTTGCAATGAGGCGAATCTGGACTGGAATGTAGTTTATGATATTGTTAATAAATATGAGCAACGGTACCCCAGAGTCAATAAATAAGCAAGGGTAACACTTTAAAAAGGAGGGGGGGGGGGGGGGGGAGGTTGTGTTGATACAAAATTTATACAAATTAACAAAAGAAAAGATGACGCAATGTTAGGCTAGGTGGCGCAAGCTGCCGCCCGTTACGAATGGTATAGCCCTTACCATCCATCCATCCATCCAACAGAAACTGAGTCGTAAAATGTACCATAAATAACAACGGCTTGGCGACAGAACGATAGATAGGTGGCCACTAATCAAGCTCGTGATTGAGTCTTTTTTTTATTTAATTATTTATTTACGTTTTATTTGTAACTTCCGTAGATAAACTTTATCGTAGGCTTTCCAGAAATCCAGGAGGACCACATCCACTTGTCCACACCGATTAAGGCTTCCGCAAAATAGTGCGTAGTTTCCACCAACTGTGTAGAAGTAGCGAGGGCTCAGTGGAAGCCATCTTGCCTTGGATTAAGCAAGTTATTTGTTTCTGAAAAAAAATTAAAGACGTTTACAACCCCTTCTAACGCCGAATCAGAGCGCAGCTCTTGAGGAGGAGGAGGAGGAAAGGGAACTAGGGCGAGAAGGTGGAAAGCCTCCCCCACTACTGACATGGGTGTGGATCGACGTGTGCTTAACGGAAGTCGCAGAAAATGCACATCTTTGGTGAGAGCATCGCGTTTAAATTTGGCGGGAGTTTAGCGGGGCAATTTTTTCCCCTAACTTTAGCGGGGAATTTTTTTCACTAGATTTAGCGGGAAAATATTTTCCGCTAAATTTAGGGGGGGTATTTTTTCCACTACATTTAAAGGGGAAAGTTTTTCCGCTAAATTTAGCGTGAAATTTAGCGTCATCGTCACCGTCACTGGTGACATTAGTGACGATGACAATGACGATGACATCATCGTGATGACGTCATCATCATCCTCATCGTCATCGTTGCCGATGACATCATCAGTGACGTCATCAATGACGATGACGTCATTGTCATCGTCATCGCGCGGTTACGCCGACGGCGACGGCGGCGCCGCTCAAGCCGGAAACGGGCGCCTAAGAGCTGCGCTCTAAAAAGCAGAAATGTGAGCAGATATTATGTGTCCCATTACTTTCACTGTGGTACTAGTAATGATATTTGGCGGTAATTCGTCACCAGTTGAATCACTTTGGCATACTTCCATGCGGCCGGTACACTGGCACTTTCGAGAGAAGAGTTTTCCGAGATAGTATTGCAAGATATTTGGCACACCACTCCGAATAACGTCGTGCCTAAGGTCGCCCTCGAGGTCGTCCTAGACGTCGTCCTTGAGGTCGTCCTAGACGTCGTCCTCTAGGCGTCGTCCTTCAGGTCGACCAAGAAGTCCTCCTTGAGGTCGTCCCACCATAGTACTGCTTCGCTGGTCTTCCTTCTTCACCAGAGTGAAAAGACTGAAAGTGTTTTTCACTACGGTGTTGCCGTCAACGTGCGAACACGGGCAAGACCATGTAGAATAATGAAGGCCTCCGTGGAGCGTCATCAGAGTCGGATGGCGCCAACTCGGGCAATTGGACCGTCCTTTGACGCGTTGATTGGTCACAAGGCCCAGCCGAGCGCTCGTGTCCAATCTTCGCTCCATCTCACTCTGATGACGTCAGTATGCTCAGTGGCATTGATTCATATAGGCGCTGGTTGACATATGGGTCGCCCTCTTTCAGGTGCTGAACCGCACCATGGACCCGCGAACGTACGAGACTGCGCAGCCCCTGATTGCGTCGCTGCCCCAGGTGCCCCTGTTGCCACAGCAGATCCTCCCGTCGCGCTCGTCCCGCAAGGACTGCATCCGCCTCCGGGGCCTGCCGTACGAGGCCCAGGTCGAGACCATCCTCGAGTTCCTCGGCGAGCACTCGCAGGCCATCGTCTACCAGGGCGTGCACATGGTCTATAACGCACAGGTCGGCCCCTTGGCTGCTACTTGAAGCCCTTGCCATTTCCCTGTAACAGTGCCAACCTTATATATTTTCCCAGGGATTCATGTCGTCATATAGGGACAAATGGAAATTTGTTCAAATATAGGGATTGTTTTTTAATGGGTTTCAGAGGGCTTTAGAGACACGTTCCTTCCCTTTCTCCTCCTCGTGCTGGCCGAGTACAGCGGGAAAAAGGCTTCTTTGTATATTGTCGGGGCCAGAGACAATCTCCAGTAGTAACAACCGGGATTTCTTTGTTTTTTTGTTTTTTGTTTTTTTTTTGGGGGGGGGGGGGGCACACAAGGCAAGAGTGTCAAAGTTTAATTATGTAAAAAAGATTTTCACGAAGAAAATATAACCTTTAAATCGCCACCAAACTGCAGGAATCTCTACTCCATAACGATAATCTCAATACTGACGCAAATTAACACATTTTCTGAAAATCTAGAGAAATATAGGTAATTCTGCGATAAACTTTGGGGAAGAAACGACCGCTGAGGTTCGCCACACTCCCCTGTAGACTGGCGCCCTCGGTGACGTTGCTACGTCTCACGTTAGATGTCGATGCAGGGATGTAGTCTACAGGGATGTTTCTCATCATCCTCGCGAGTTTAATGGTGCCGTTATGAAATTACAGAGTCTATGACAAAAAAAAATCATTTTAGGCCTTTGACTTCCTGCCTGGCGTCGGAGTGCGCCTTTGTCCTTGATGAGGTCAATCAACTTCCGGTCGTCCTGTGTGCAGGGACAGCCATCCGGCGAGGCCTTCATCCAGATGGACTCGGAGGACTCTGCCTTCTTGGCAGCCCTTCAGCGTCACCATCGCTACATCATGGGAAAGAAGCCTCGCTACATTGAGGTGTTTCAGTGCTCCATCGACGACATGAACCTGGTGCTAACCGGTGGCATCCCTGTCCAGAGGCCCCTCCTGTCGCCAGGTGAACCCTTGCTGCCTCTGTTAAACGATGAACGAGGTGGGCACAGAGAATTTGGGGCCCTGGGAACGCAGTTTTACGTTTCCCGTTGTGTCCGATAAAAAAGCGGTTGCGTTGCCTGAGCGGCTATCGAAAAAAAAAAAGGAAAAAAAAAACAAACAAAAAAAACGGGGTAATCACGGCAGGATTACGCAATCATCGAATGAAATGTTTCAGTGAACAGGAGAATCATTATCGCTCGGTATGCAGAACAGAGTTTGAGCAGTGCACGGACGTTAAAAGAAAGAAAAAAACAACAAAAAAAAAAGACGTTTACAATCCCCTGTAACGCCGAAGTAGAGCGCAGCTCTTGAGGAGGAGGAGGGAAGGGTGCTGAGGGGCGAAGGTGGGAAGTCCCTTACCACTAGCATGGGTGTAAACCGACATGTGCTTAACGCAAGACGCAGAAAATGCACATCTATGGTGAGAGCATCGCGTGTAAGTTTGGCGGGAATTCAGCAGCGCAATTTTTTCCCCTAACTTTAGCGGGGAATTTTTTTCCACTAGATTTAGCGGGGAAGTTTTTCCCGCTAAATCTAGTGGTAAACAATAGGGAGTTTTCGTAGATCGTTTTCGCCGTCCCGCAAGGCCCTCCGCAACCCGCTACGATAGCGGGAACTCCATAGTCAAGGCTATCGGCGCGCAGGCGCAGTATCAACTTCTTCGTTGCGGAACGCTTAGCGGAGGAGGCAGCGCGGTCTACGAAAACTCCCTATTAACCCGCTAAATTTAGCGGGAAAATGTTTTCCGCTAAATTTAGCAGAGAAATTTTTTCCGCTAAATTTAGCGGGCAAATTTTTTCCGCTAAATTTTGTGGAGAAATTTTTGCTGCTAGATTTAGCGTGGAAATTTTTCCGGAAAATTTAGCGGAAAATTTTTTTCCGCTAGGTTTAGCGGAAAATTTTTTTCCGCTAAATTTAGCGGGGAATTTAGCGTCATCGTCATCGCCATCGTCACTGATGACGTCCTCAGTGACGTCATCAGTGACGATGATGTCATCGTGATAAGATCATCCTCATCGTCATCGTCATCGCGCGGTTACGCCGACGGCGACGGCGACGCCGCTCAAGCCGGAAACGGGCGCCTAAGAGCTGCGCTCTAAACCTAGAATTGAATATTTTCAATATTTTTGTGACTGGTCAAAGTAATTGAGAATTATTCAATGCTCCGGGTCCCCAACGCAGAGAGGCAATGAAAATCACTTTCAGCCTTTCTACTCTGGTGAAGAAGGAAGACCAACGGAGCTGTACAATGGAAAGTAATGGCCGGCCGCAACTCGACAAGCCAGAGTGGAAAGGCTGCCGCCATCTATGAGCGACGGCGGCAACCAGATACGTGGCTTGCTGCCGTCGCTCGTAAATGGCGGTAGGTGTCCAGAGTTCGGTGTCTTCCTTTTCTTTGCGGGGGACACGATCCTGGGGAAACTAGCCCTTAAAGGGGTAGGGAAACGAAATTCCAGCGTTCATTTTTTCGCTTTAATGGGTTGCATGTTGCATTATAACCTTAATAACACAAGTCTTGCGTTGAAAGACACAAGCGAACTAATTTTAAAGCTAATTAAACAATCTTTCAATGCGCACCTGGTGGATGAATGTGGAGCCTATTCGGGAGGTAATCTAGCAACGTTGGGTAACTTGCTACGTAGTCGTGACGTAGAAGATTCTTTCGGAGCAGCGCCGCTCTTTGGCATTTCAACATTTTCCTTCATAGCTTTCCTCCTCAACTCACAAATCGCGCACTGAACCAAACAGTCCAAGAAGACGGAAAGGAGGGACTCCCCTCTTTCTCGGACCCTCGTTCGTGCAACCGGAAACAGCCATTCTCCCCTTAGAACATTAGTCCGTCGCTCAAAACTCGAACAAAAGTTGCGCCCTAAGCTGACAGTGTTGTGGAAGCTACGTGCTGCTTGGGCCAGCCACACGCTCGTCACCCCACGGGTACTTCGAACGGCTCGGTTGTAACGTGATAACGCTATTGACACCACCACAACGCTGACGCCACCAAGGACAAAGCTCATAACCACGCCAGCCTTGCTACGTCACGAACGCGGGAAATCTTTTCTTTCTATTTTCGTTTGCGTCGGATATCCCATGACGCATCACGCTCTCCGTTCGCTTCTCTTCGAGCGCTTGCTCGAGTGCACCGTTTGGAACGAAATATATATCAAGTGGTTCAAAATACAAACGTGTGCGATCATCATTTACGGTTATTATCCGTCATGCTTGACTCATTTCCGAACAAAGTTTGAATATTTCAATTTTTGTTACCGTACCCCTTTAACAGCTCCGCTGTAAAAGAAATGCAACGCAGAATTCTGAGTAGGTTGCACTGCACGTTTTTTCCGAGCGAGATACTGGAGTTGACAGAGCTTCTTCCCACGAAGCCAAAAGTGGGAGGATGTGTCTTGAACTGCCATGCCCGCGTCGCTGCAGGAGGCGCCATGCTGCATCCGTACGGGGCCTACCCGTACGTGCAGCCTCCGGCCCCGGTGCTCCCGGCGACCACGATGACAACGCTGGCACCGCGGGTGTCCACCTACTATCCGCCCATCTTCTACTGGTCCTATCCAAGTCCACCGGTGTCCCCCACCACGTACTACCCCCACACGGCGGGCCCCACCATGGTAATTTTGCGCGGGCTGCCCTATAGCTCGACGGCCCAGGACATTCTAACCTTCTTCCAGGGCTTTCCAGAGGTCAGGGCTCTTTCTTTCTTTATTTCTCTTGCCTGGTTGCTGGATGAGGGTCGCCGGGTGGCTTCTCAGAGCCGTACCCCAAGGAGAACAGAGTTTGGCCAAGCAATGGCCAATGGCTGGCGATGGTCTTTTGGCCAGTGGCCAAAGATTGGTCGACCAATGGTTGACCGATGGCTGATGGCCAGTAACCATTGGCCAATGGCCAGAGAAGGACCAGTCATCGGCCAATTTCTGGCCACTGTCTGGACACTGGCCAGAGGACCATTGCCAGCCGCTGGCCAATGATTGGGCAATGGCTGATGGTCAGTGGCCAATGACCAATGGCCAGAGAAAGGCCAGTCATCTGCCAATCTCTGATCACTGTCTGGCCACTGGGCAAAGGACCATTACCGGCCATCGGCCAACGATTGGCCAACTATGTGCTGCTTGGGCTTGTGCTTCATCGTTCCCTCTCGTCCCGAATTGGTTTATGTACTGACGATTGCATTGCCCAAATGTCCTACCGTAAGCCTGCTTTCCTGCAGAGATGTAACGGTAGGACTTCCTGATCCTGGGACCTAAATAACGCAAACTCGAGCCCAAAAGGCCGCTGTTGCACTGAGCTTGGTGCTCGACGTGGCGGCCGCACCAAATACTTTACTGGGGGAAAACAGGACACTTTCCTCATTTGCATTAGACAGAACGACGGCCGCGCCATAAACCTACACCCCTGGTAAAGTGGTTTATATGGCGACGCCTCTCTCCCCCACCCGTTTCCTCTCGCTACCAGAGCACGTGACCAGGCGACGCGTCGGATTGCGGATGCGAAGACGGTACCGCTGCCGGCCGTCACGTGTGTTTCCCTCAGAGGCCCGTTGTCGACTTTTTTTTATGTATTCCGAGGGAGTGCCTTGTATTCCCCTAGTAAAGTATTTGGCCTTGCACCTTGAACTGAACACGTCATCGGAATCACATCATTCGCCAGCAGTGCTGCCAACCTTATGAATTTTTCCCTGGATCTAGGGATTTCTGTCATCGTTTAAAGGCAAAGGGAAATTCGTTCAAATCTAGGGACTGACTTTTAATGGGTTTTAGAGGCACGTTCTTTCCCTTTTTCCTTCTTGTGCCCGCCGAGTGTAGCGGGAAAAAGGCTTCCTTGTCTATTGTTGGGGCCAGAGATGATCTCCCGTGGTAACAACAGCGATTTCGGGGGCCCACACAAGGCCAAAGTAACAAATTTCAATTATGTAAGAAGAATGCAATGAAGCAAATTTAACCTTTCAACGGCCACCCAACTACAGGATACTATTCTTAAGCTACTCCATAACGATAATCTATATATTGACGCAAATTAGCATTATCTGAAAAGCTAGGGCTATCTAGGGAACTTTCTCATAAAATTCGGGGAAGAAACGACCGTGGAGGTTGGCAGCACTGTTTCATAGTCCGAAGTTACGGTGAAACGTTGCACACTACACAAAGATTCCTGAAACCAGTTGTAGCCACGGTAGAGTCGGCCAGCGTCAAGTTGCAACTAGAGAAGCCACCTGGTGAACCCTTGGCTGTATGGATGTTCGTGCATTGGTTAACGCATTTGGCTGGTGTTGGTTAGCGACCACCTGTTTCGTTTCTGTTTTTCCTTACTAATCATGGCTGCCCTAACACTGTGGGTTTTTGCTTCTGGCGGGCTGGCTATAGCCTGGCGTCGTTGACCCCACCCTGTTGGAATGGGGGAGGGCACCAGGTTTTCACAGTTTCTAGCCAATTAATAAAAGAATTACTGGTGTTTAAAGAAAGATCATGTTCGCCCAACTACGCTGAGTATATTTTCCGCGTGTGTCTCAAAAGCGCCAAGTAACTACGGGTGTCGCGAACCGGTCGAGGTTCGAGTTCGACCAGGTTCGACTTTTTTGAATTTCTTGTGAGACAAAGGTTCGACTCAGGTTCGACTGCTATGCGCATGCGCGACAGACTGGCCAGTTGGCTTCGGATTGGATAGTGATGGCTAAGGGAGGAGTTAAGGGCAGCACTGATTGGTTATTTCAGTTAATACAGTACAAAAAAAAAATAAGTTAATAACTTCTTCAGTGATCAGAACTAGTTTCTTTTAATTGCAACTGTTCATAAAATTAGAAGTACCCTTTGCATAAAAAAAAAATTCTCCAAACCTAGACATGCTTATATAAAGGTCTGGCCACACTGTCCGCAAAGTCGAACCGGTCGAATTTAGTTTAAAAGTTCGAAGGTTCGTCGAGCCGGTTCAAACTAGCCGAACCCCGAAAGTTCGACCTAAAAATCTGGTTCGACAAATGTTCGCGATACCCCTACAAGTAACTGGTCAACATCTGAATCCTTGCTTCGATGGCGCTCACTTTGCCATAAGGGGTTTTCCAGCGAAAATCAAAGTGTTATGACTGAAATAATAATAATAAAAAAATATATCCCGTTTGTGCAACTCACAAACCTTGGTGCCCTCCCGCATTCAGCGGGAACATGTTGCATAATAAGCATGGACTTGCGGCTGCTTAATCCTGCTGGGAAGGCCAAGCATCTTTTGAATGACGCATAAAAGTGCTGACTAAGTCTTCCTCTTTTGTTGATACAAAAGCAAATCAGAGAATAGGCGGTTGCAGCTCGTGTTGGAAACCAGAGAGGAGACAAAGCGTCACATACAAGCTTAATTGAGCCGCTGTCATATTTTAAGGCGAAAAAGCCTTACTTGTCCCAGATCGCGAAAAAGCGGCGTCGTTGTGCCTGAAAGATGGCAATAAAAATACGTCATCAAGCACGCGCAGCTCAATCGTATGCTCGAGGACGACGTCGTCCTCTAGGCCTCGTTCTCGACGTCGTCCTCGACGTCGCCCTAAAGGTCGTCCTAGACACCGTTCTTAGCGTCCATCTCTAGGACGTCGTCCTCGACGTCGACCTATATGTCGTCCTAAACTTTGATAAGTGTAGAAACATTAGTCGAAAACATTTCTCCCGCGGGACTATAATGTCGCCTTCCTACAAGTAAGCAGTCTTAAAGGGACACTGACACCCCCCAAAAATTTTTTTTATTTTTTGCCAGATGATTTTTTATGGTGTCAGAAGACTATACCCAATCAATATTTTGACACAGCGTCACGTATATTATTAATAAAGTAAAAAAAACAAAAAACAAAAAAAACGAAACTGCTCGAATCCGAAATTGGACTGGGGAGGAAGAAGAAATATAGAGGAGGAGAGAGGTGGCGAAAGTCACCGTGGCTGTGTTACTTTTTTTCCCCAAACAGCGCATTTGCAGCTTTTTTAGAAGCCATAAGAAATTGGTATCATAGTTCTTTTCTATTTTTAATAATGTGTGCCTGCCTTCGTGACCTAGACGGCTTTGATTAATTTTTGGTGGTTTTGTCTAAACCATAGAAAGCGGCACGTGGCCACGGAGAAGAGAGTGAGCGCGACTCAAACCGGCCAATTTCTTGATCAACGGTTTTCGGTCGAAAAAAAAAAAAAAATTCCTAGCTGCAAATTTTTTTTTTTTTTTTTTTTTTTTGGTGGGGGGGGGGGGGGGGGGGGGGGCTAGTTTGGCTTTCATATCTTTCATAAGAAAAAAACTTTGGCGAGCATAAATACCTGTCAGTGTCCCTTGGAACCAGTTGAAGACTTAGCGGACATTAAAATGACCATAACGATGATCAGTCGGCTGAGCTAGAGTCACTGTTTAGGTCTCGAGAGCACCGACATTCCCATGCTCCTCGCCGTGGCCCTCAAATGTATCCATATCCGTGCCGTCATTTTGGAAACCTTGCGTAGTACACTCTATGATGTTGTCGACAGGTCTTTCAGGTAAGTGTGTGGCGCTGTAGAGAACCACCCGAAGTCACTTACGATATTATTACGTGAGTGCATTCTAGCTGCACTCCTATAATAATTACATCGCCATGCGTACCGTACAATGAAAGACAGATAGAAGTTGATAACTACAACTGTTTTGTTGTTGAGTGTTTTCATGTCAGTTTATACAATGATACACTCTAGAATCAAAAAGGGTGTCGCCTTACACCCTTTTGTACCATATAATGCACCCCAAAACTTCAGTTCGATGTATACAGCTCACTAAAGCTAAACAGACGGCCCCAAGTTTTACGAGGGGCTTGAGAACGGTACAATATAACTTATTAAATAGCTAAAATACCTATCAAAGACCCCAGAAGGAAAACACTGAGGTTTTGCAGTGGGGCCAAGAAAAGTCCAATTATTTCCTTTGTTGTCAGTAACACGTGCATTAGCTATTTTAATAAGTTGTACCACACGGCTATCAATCCTCTCGTGAAGTACCGTCAGATCGACTATAGTGCGCTGTACATCGAACTGAAGTTATGGGGTGTCTTATATGGGACAAAGGGTGTAAGATACACCCTTTTTTAGAGTGCAGTCCGACTCATATCCTGTATACTTCTGTAAAATATATACTCTACGAAAGGCGTGTCCTTCGGAGAAGCACTCGGCGACGCACACCAACTCATGTTTACAAAGAAACCGAAGCGCCCCTAGCGGCACGCCACCGGCGCCGCGCATGCGTGATGGGGTGTGGGCAAGTATATGGCGCCGCGTACCGCTTCAACAAACCATTGGACTGTAATAATGTCGGCGTCGGTGTGAGTCTCCGTGCTCGTTTATAGCAAAGCTGTATATGAGTCGTAGATAATTTTCAGCGATTGAAGCAAAGAGTGCATATATCACGCATACAAAATACAGCACAGCATTCGTTTTAATAGAGAACAAGCACAAAACAAGCATCCGAACCAGATGATTGATGATAAGGCGCTCCTGATAACAATGCGAAGCGCATAGCGCTCGCCCCATACGTTTCCTAACAATAGTGGGTTTTGTATTATTGCGTATACGAGAAAACGCAAGCGCTGTGCGTTTGCGTTAGCGTTGCGTTCTCCACGATGTGCGCCAGCGGGAAGTCGCCAGGCGCCCATCCAAGGTCGCAGTTTGGGCTCCGCACACGCGCAGCGTAGAGAACGGAACGC